CAAACAAACAAACAAACAAACAAACAAACAAACAGAATTAGATACATTTATGTAGGATAGTTCCATCAATGACTATAACCCAAACTGGTCAGGAATACGACTGCATGGTCTCGGTGTCTCTAAATCTCTCCCTGCCAGAGGCTGGGAGCACATGATGGAGGATAGATCCCTCTATAATTACCTTGGTTTGTTCTTTCACTCTGAACTGCCTACATTGGATACTGTCAGAAGAGAGGACATTGGGCTAGATGGACTATAGTCCTGAATCAATATGGTCCTTCTTATTTTCTTAATTTCTTCCTCTGTTGGATGGGCTGCTGCAGAGAAGCCTTCTCCAGGGGATGCCTTCTCCTCAGATCTTCTGTATTAGCCTTTTAATTTCAAGTGCTATCAATGTGGTTCTATTATGGTTTAGGGAGATCCTATCCTTCTTGTGTAGGCTCTCCCTTTCCCCCACGTTTCCCCAGTTCCTATTAAATCTAACCCCCTCCTCTCTAAGACTTTGTTTCTTTGCTTTCTATCAGAAAAGCTTGACCATTACTTTAGTGCAGGCCTCAGGTTGCACGCTAGGCGTCAGATACAAAAGCTTATGTTTCAGGCCCTCTTCCTACTACAGAGATAGAGGGGAGCTTGACAATAGACATTTTTCCTCCATGAAAATTTTTGTATGTGTAATTTTCATACATTATTTGGGCTGAGATTTCATTAAAAAAAGGAGATTTTTTTTTCAGTTGCCAGGATGCTGTCCAACTGCAGCTACCTGAATCCCCAAGAGAAATTGGAGGCTTTTAATCTCTCGCCTCCTCATAAAATATGTTTGCACGGATTGAGTCTATGGCTGAACTCTGGGTATGGAAAGGTTGAAAACTCCCACACAGTTTCTGGCTGGGCCCAATGGCTACTCTAACAATCCTTCCCGTCTCTGTGCAGCAACTCCCCATCTTTACAAGACCCATCAGCAGATCCTGAGACAAGACCTGCTAGCAGGGAGCTGGAGAGGATCCTTGAGCAGTTGTAGAAGCCCAGAGATTGTGGATGGCTGGGTCGAGCTACGAGTGGGTCACTGAAACCTGTGCCTAACTTTTGGGATCCTGGATGCTGGGTCCCCCTTCTCTTTCCTCAGGGAAAAGGAAAGGGAATTTCCCCTCCAGGGTGTTGATCCAAGAGAATTGCAGAATTTCCCTTCCCTGTCTTAACCCCTGGACTCTTAATTCAGGAAAGGAGGCTGCCGGGGTGAAATCTGGTCTTATATCACATTCTATTTTGTTTTATTTCAGCAGTATCACAGATTTGACAGCATCATCGTTACCACTTGGCCAGCCTCACAGTAACCATGTAACTAACAGAGCTGACAAACCCGGATAACGGAAATGTAGCCTTCAGCAGGGCTGGTGCTGCAGGTCAGTTGTTTAGCATCACCCTCCACCCCTCGCCATCCCCTGTGATTTCGCCTCCTGCCATTTGCCATTGGCCATGATGGGGTTAAAGCTGGTGCACACAAAGCCAAGCAGCTGAGGTTCCCTGACAGTTAAGTGGCCCCCAAGGGACGGTACAAACATGCTGCATAAAGGCAATTGACTCCCTATCTGATCACACACTGCCTGCTGCCTGTGCAACCTCTCTGATGACTCCTTGTGCTTCAGGGTGAAGACCTCTGGTGCCAGTGACTCCCTTCTAGCAGGAACTGGGTACATTGGTAGGTGTCACTGTCTGTAACATGCCAAGTGCAGGGCGAAGGCTGCAGGCTTTTTGCATTGGCAGCTGTTCTGTGCAGCAGCAGAAAACTCAGGCGGGTTATGGGAGTGACTTAGTGATGGGCTGGAGGGAAGGCAGCTCTAGGTAGCTGGGGAACCCCTCCACACCATCTGTCAATGATTCACAGTGGGCTATTCAAGCTACACAGAAATATGATACTCAAATCCAGCTTGAAGAGTAAAAATCCTAAAGTTCTGCATCATCATTTCTCGGTGAGTCCCATTTCTAGAGGTGTTGTGTGCTCTGCGCCCAATTGTGAGTGTGAGGAGACCCCATGGAATATCCAAAATCATTTCAGGTTGATTTGCTCTTGTAAATTTAATCAGAAAATGAATGTTCAACTACATTATTCCCTGGTTCAGTAGTGAAAGTGAGAAGTCAGAGGTGTGTCCCTCTGTGGCAACAGCCCTGATATGGCATGTTGCTGTTTCCTGAGTGGCTGAGGGCTCTGGAGTCTCTTCCATGTAGTCACCCCTCCCCCTGATATCTGGGCTATAGAACTCTATGAGTCTCTGTGCTGCCCTTCAGATCCAAGTAGATTCAGCACCTGCGGTTCTTCCCTCCAAAAGGCTGTACCTAGCGGTGAGAAGAGTGACCAGCCAGCGTTCTTCAACCAAAATACAGCGTAATCCAGAGTTGTTGACTCAAGTTCCATGACTTGAACTCGAGTCCGACTTAAGTTGCCTAGGTGACTCGACTTGAGACTCGACTCAGGTTCATTGTTTGTGACTTGAGACTTGCTAATTTTGTTAAATCGACTTGGTGAAAAAATTGTCCGAAAATGCCGATATTGATGGCTTGTACAAAAGTGACTTGACCTTTTCTAAATTAAGCCTTGAGACTCGACTTGGGACTTGACTCGAAAGTGACTTTAGGAACTCGAGACATCCCAAGAACCAAGTTTCACACACATTCCTCATGGCAACTCAGCTACATCTGTCACAGTGCCATCTCTGACACTATGGAATTTATGAATACAGGTCATAGATGCTCAGAAAGAAGAGAGAGAGAGAGAGCACAACAGACTACTCTCTTTTACCTTTCCACATGAAAGGGTCTGTAAATATTTTTCAAGTACCTAAAAGGGTATTACAAAGAGGAGGGAGAAAAAAAATTTCTCCTTGTCCTCTGATAACAGAACAAGAAGCAATGGGTTTAAACTGTAGTAAGGGAAGTTTAGGTTGGACATTAGAAAAAACTTCCTACTTGTCAGAGTGGTTAAACACTGGAATAAATTGCCCAGAGAGGTTGTGGAATCTCCACCACTGGAGATATTTAAGAGTAGGTTAGATAGACATCTATCAGGGATGATCTAGATTGTGTTTGGTCCTGCCATGAGGACAGGGGACTGGATTTGATGACCTCTTGAGGTCTCTTCCAGTTCTAGTGTGCTAGGATTCTATATGGGAAATTAAGTTCCATTTCTATGAATACTCATCTATTTGACTTTGAAATCCACTCATTTAAACCTGACAGGTGCTGGGATTACTAGGCAGAGAGAGCTCTTAGAATGAATATTTTATATACTTATTACATTGCCTGGTACCACTCCATATGTTGGTTACAGCTGGACAAAACAGCCGCTGAAGAGAACTAGTCAGCTACTAACCCAGGAATGCAGGAGCTACTAGACTTCTGGTTGCTGACAAGCAACTGAATGAGGGTTAAACTTAAAAAAACAACAAAAATGAGTAATCTAATAGCACCTTAAAGACTAACAAAACATGTAGATGGTGTCATAATCTTTCGTGTGCACAACCCACCTCTTCAGATGACAGGAGTATTAGAAGTCCAGATACAAGAATAAATAAAGGAAGGGGGGAGTGAGAAGGAGGGAAAAAAAGAGAAAAAAGGAGGGGAGAAAAAAAAGAGAGGCAGTGAGTAGATGGTTCAAATAATTACAAGAGGCTCATAAGAACTATTAGTACATCCATTGTTTGTTTGGTTAGTTAAGTCATTAGGATGTGGAAGTTAGTATGCCAGTCAGCCGATGTCCCTACTCATACTATTTGCATAAGAATTCAACTTGTGAATGAAGTTAAGTTCCAACCCTTCTCTGTGTATTTGGCTTGTTGAATTGGCCTGAAACAAAATGGTAACCTGGAGATCCATTAATGAGTATCCAGGAAGATTAAAGTGTTCTCCAACAGGTTTTTGTGTATTGCCTTTTTGGATTTCTGATTTGTGTCCATTAATTCTTTCCCATGGAGACTGTCTAGTTTGACCAATATACATTGCAGTGGGGCATTGCTGGCATTTGATAGATGTGCAGTTAAATGAGCCTCTGATTTGCTTGCTGATGTGGTTGTGGCCAGTGATGAAATCGCTGGTGTAGATGTGTGGGCAAAGTTTGCACTGGGGCTGATTCCTGGATGATTATGATGTAGCTGTGTTGCGTGGTTACGGGAAAGAATTTGTTTGAGGTTAGGGGGTTGTCTGTAAGTTAAAATAGGCCTTTTCCCCAAGGCCTCTGAGAGTGAGGGGTCATTTTCAAAGATAGGTTGTAGATTGTTGATAATGCGTTAGAGGGATTTAAGTTGTGGACTGTAGGTGATGACAAGTGGAATTCTGTTGTTTTATCTTTTGGGCCTGTCTTGAAGTATTTCATGTCTGGGTACTCTTTTGGCTCTGTCAATCTGTTTTTTCACTTCTCTGGATAGGTATTTCAGTTTAAAGAATGTTCTATATAGATCCTGTAGGTGTTTCTCTATGTCTGTGGGATTGGAGCAAATCTGATTGTATCTTAGGGCTTGGCTGTGTACAATAGATTGAGAAATGTGTCTGCGATGGAAGCTAGAGGCATGAAGGTAAGTGTAGTGGTTGGTAGGTTTCCAGTATAGGGTAGTGGAAATTTGTCCATCATTTAATTTTACTGTAGTGTCAAGGAAGTGGATCTCTCATGTGGACTGATCCAGGCTGAGGTTGATACTGGGGTGGAAGTTGAAATCCCTGTGAAATTCTTCAAGGGTCTTTTCCCCTTTGGTCCATAGGATGAAGATGTCATCAATGTAGTGTAAGTAGAGTAGCAGTGTTAGGGAATGAGAGCTGAGGAAACGTTGTTCAAGGTCAGTCATAAAGACGTTGGTATAATGTGGGTCCCTGCGGGTGCCCATGGCTGTGCCACTAACTTGAAGATACAAATTGTCTCAGAATTGGAAGTAGTTGTGGGTGAGAACAAAGTCGCAGAGCTGTGAAACCAGGTGTGCAGTGCTGTCAGTAGGGATGGTGTCTTCGTGTGGAATGTTGGTGTAAAGAGCTTCTACGTCCATGGTGACCAGGCTGGTGTTTTCAGGAAGTTTACTGATGTTTTGTAGTTTCCTCAGGAAGTCGGTGGTGACTCGAAGATAGCTAGAAGTGCTATAGCATAGGGTCTGAGGAGAGAGTCAATATAGCCAGATAATCCTGTTGTAAGTGTGCCAATGCTTGAGATGATGAGTCATCCGGCATTTCCAGGTTTGTGTATCTTGGATAGCAGATGTCTTTCTCTTTCCTTTCCCTCCCCTCCTTTTTTCCTCCTTCCCCCCTTCCCTTATTTATTCTTGGATCTGGACTTTTAATATTCCCGGCATCTGAAGAAGTGGGCTGTGCCCATGAAAGCTCATGATAACATCTACATGTTTTGTTAGTCTATAAGGTGCTACTAGACTATTTGTTGTTTTTAAAGTTTTTCCTGTTACAGACTAACTCAGCTACCCTGCTGAAGCTTTTGAATGAGGGTTGTGATATTTTCAGGTTCTGAGAAAATCCAGAGGACTGATATTACATTTTATGTCCTACTTGAACCTGGGAAATCATCTCTGAAAGTAGATCTCAGGGGAAAGAATTGGTTTACAGGAGTGTCCTAAAGTTCAGATTTGTAAATGATACACCAAAAAAGGTGTCGTTTTAATACAAATGTTACAAGCCAAAGACGTAAATTGAGAGCCGGAAGCAAAGTTGTTGGAATCTTTGCAGGAATGAGCATGGGTAATTTTACTGCCCACTGGCTTTGGCTTTAGAAAGAATTTCAGATGTACTCTACATAGTGATCACAATGGGTTTGTGGTATTAACGTTTTTTCAGTGCAGACTTGTATGGCATTGTTTCCTGGTAACAGGCAATGAGGTGTTTGTAGCATTTACATCCAGGGTCATGAGCACAATGCCTCTGCAATACCAGTGCAAGCCTTTCCAATTGGCCTGAGAGAAGAGAATTGCTGGATTACATTCAGAATGAGAACAGCTAAGTTACAGGAAAGGGGAGCGTAATAGTGGTTGCTTGTAATTTATGCCTGTTATAAAAGCATTGTTGAAGTAACTTGCATGCTCAGATGGGTTATCAGTGTAAACCTAATGATTTTACTTTCATCCATTTCTGGTGCCAACTTCTTTCCCATCCAATTGAAGAAACTGTATGATCTTCTGACTTGCTAATATTTACAGACTCTTGTATGTGGAGAGGATGTGGGTCCCGTGAGGATTAAGGGAAGTTTGTAGCATGATCTAACTCTGTGGAGTCAGTTAACACTGGCCAGGCAAAGCACTTCAGCTTCTCTTTGGCTATGTCTACATGATATTTGGCACTATTTAGACAACGCCAAATGACGAAATAAGTTATTTTGAAATAGAATTGAAATAAGATACGCATTTTGCATAGCTTATTTCGAACTACAGTGCAGTGTAGCTATACCTTTAGAGGGAATGTTGATTGTCAGAGTGTTTCACTGGAAGCAGTAGGTAAAGGAAAGTTAATAGACTCCCATTCTCATCAAACTCAGACAGTAATATGGAGTAACACCATTCAAATCAATGCTAATCAGGTCAGAACCTGGACCTAAGAACTTATCCCATGTGCTGCAAAGTCACATCATTTGGATTCTTAGGAGTGCAGAAAATGTATATAATAAGGCAGTGAAACAAGTTTATAAATAGATTTAGCGCAGGACAGAGAAAAACACTCACTATTTTCCCAATGCACTTGCTATGTTTTTATTTACATGTCATGATACAATGGACCGTATCCACATGTCCATGGGAACATCACAAATGTAAAATCACACAAAACATTTAGGCTGCACAACTCCCAGTCACAAGGTATCAATGGGGCCAAGAGCTTAGCAGGATTCCAAAAAGTAGCCAGAAAATGGATGGGTAGCCAGAAAACCCAATTGCAGTAGTGAACAATTTAAAAAAATAGACATGGAAGGGGTCTTCCTGATTCATATCACCACATATATCTAACTATGGATACTGGGGGAAAACTGTCCCTTGGAGCAGGTTTCCTCATACCTCCCTATTGCAGGGCTTCTTCCGCCTTCCTCTGAAGCATAAGGAACTAGCCACTGGATACTAAGGTAGATGGACTGTAGGTTTGATTCTGTCTAGCAAAGCCCATCTCCCTATCCATGGTATAAATCCAGGCATGTGTCTGCTTATTTTCCCTCAGCTACTGGAAGTCTCTGGAAATGTGCTGAAAACTGAAAAACGTCTAATTAAATATCATCTAGTCTCCTGCTCTTTTTGCTTTCAGGAAGAAATGACAAGAACTCCTCTGACACTCCTTGTACATTATGCCTGCTGTCAATGCCACCAACTCTAACTCACCAGTGTTTCTCCTCACTGGCATACCTGGGCACGATGACTTCTATCTCTGGATCTCTATCCTCTTCTGCTTCATGTATGTGGTCTCGATAGTAGGAAATGCAGTCATTATATTCTTTATAAAAACAGACCCAAGCCTTCATGAGCCCATGTACATTTTCCTTTCCATGTTGGCTGTCACAGACCTTGGCCTATCACTAGCCACCATACCGACGATACTGGGTGTATTTTTGTTTAGATCTAGGGATATAGGCGTTGATGTGTGTTTGGCCCAGCTATTCTTCATTCATTCACTTCAATGCACTGAATCCTCCGTGCTCCTGTTGATGGCCTTTGACCGCTTCATCGCCATCTGTAACCCGCTGAGATATGCTGCCATCTTAACACTGCCAAGATTACCTAAGATGGGGCTGGTGTTTTTTCTAAAAGGGGTGGCCATAGTGTTCCCCCTCCCCATTCTCCTAAAACGGTTCCAATACTGTCAAGCCAATGTCCTCTCCCATTCCTACTGCCTGCACCAAGACGTCATGAAGTTGGCTTGTTCGGACATCACAATCAACAGCATCTATGGATTCTTTGGTAAAATCTTCACAATGGGGTTGGACTTGTTGCTCATCTTCCTCTCTTATGTGATGATCATCCACACTGTTATGGGCATTGTGTCCCCCTCAGAGAGCCTCCGAGCCCTGAACACCTGCGTCTCCCACCTCTGTGCAGTCCTGATTTTCTACACACCAGAGATTGGTTTGTCAGTGATACACAGATTCGGGAAAGGTTCTTCTCCCATGCTTAGTATTCTCCTCGGCTACATGTCCCTTCTGGTCCCACCCCTGATGAACCCAATTGTGTACAGTGTGAAAAGCAAACACCTTCGAGCCAGAATTATCAGGGTTATCATCAAGTGAAGAATCTGTTTATCAGTCAGCTCTAGCACTGTTGACCAGGATGATAAAAATCCCAGGACACTGTTACCTATTCTATCCTGGACTCTTGAACACGAGCCAACATGAGCTGCTGATTTCTACTCTGTAGAGAGAGAGTTAGATGGGGACCAAGGCCTGGGGCAATGGGAGAGAGGTTGATGAGGGAGGAGAGAAGAGTGATAGATGGAGACCACAGCCACGCAGGCAGGTGTGCTCACAAAGTGACACTGTTCATGGAGAACCAGGGAACAGGTGGGATATGGGCCCATAAAGAAATGTATCAGTGGATGTTCCCAACTCACAATTCATCTGAATACAAACAGTATAGAGAAAGGGATGTGGATGTTTTGGTTTGTTTTTTCCTATGACACCTGGCCTGTCACTGTCCCATCTCTGGTGAACATCCAAGGGGGGTGAAAAATGTTGCAGACCTGTTCTGCAGTCACAGTCCTGGCCCTCTCTGAGGGTATGTCTACACTACCCCGCTAGTTCGAACTAGCGGGGTAATGTAGGCATACCGCACTTGCAAATGAAGCCCGGGATTTGAATTTCCCGGGCTTCATTTGCATAAGCGGGGAGCCGCCATTTTTAAATCCCCGCTCGTTCGAACCCCGTGCAGCGCGGCTACACGGGGTTCGAACTAGGTAGTTCGGACTAGGATTCCTATTCTGAACTACCGGTACTACGAGGTGTCTCGTGGGGTCGTTGCCATCAGCCCGGCTGCACTTGCTGCAGGATGCCATCCGAGGGGGTTCATCCGGGGGCTGTCAGGATCCAGGAGGCCCTGAGGAGGAGCAGCCACCCTGAGGAGCCCTCAGAGCCTCCCTGGTCCTCCTCACCGGGGGCTCGTGCCCCATTCCTCCCTCACGTCCTTGCACTTACCCCTCCCTAGCCCCCCTTCCTTATGTCCAAAATAAAGAACGCGTGTGTTCAAAAATAGAAACTCTCTTGATTCCACAAAACTCAGGGAGA